ATTGGTATGATAAATATATGTAGGCAAGCTTGCAAGAGACAGACTAAGAGTTTACTAAATGAAATATATACCTGTTAGGATGATAGAGACAGAAAAGTTGCTTACACAGTTCATGAGAAATTGTTATTAAGGTGGAATAGGCATCAGTATAAATATTGGTAAAATTGCAAATAACTTCCATGTATCTGTTTGTATTGTTAGTATGTATGTATATGTTATGATTGTTTGTGTATGTTATGTGGAAAATGTAATAAAATCCTGCCCCTTTGGGGGCAGTTGTCCTCACATAAGTAGTCTCAACAAGAAGGATTATAAATCCTTTGGATTTTAGTGTATTTCTTTTTCAGAATAGTATATTAGAATACTGAATGTAATGCAAGGAATGTTGAGATGTCTGCTGACAACACTACATCCAGCTCAAAAAATGCTGTTAAGTGCTCTCCACACCTGAGAGAATTAAGATTCTCAGTTACTTCCCACAATTAGAAAAAACACCTTTAGACATTTATCTGCTATTTTGACCTATTTATTGCTTTACAACTGTTGCCCTTTTCACCTTAACTTATGTAGTGTCACTTTGCATATCTTGAACAACATCATGTCAACATGTTAATTTGCGGCTCATTCTCTGGCTATAAGCTTGAACCTCCCGTGCCGTTCCAATGTATTTGAAAGGGCGTGCCTGCACACGAAAGCTCACACCTTGAGGAGACCTTTGTTGGTCTTATAGGTGTCGCTGGATGCTGGATGTTTGGGCGGTGAATATGACAAAAGGCACCTCATTGATCCTTTGGTCCCTATGAAACGGTGCAGTGTGTCACCACCCTGCCCTCTAGTGAGGGAGTCTGTACATTGCAGAAAGGGAGTCCATAAAACAGGTTGAGGACAGAAACGCCTGCCGAAACACAGGGTGATCTCCCACAAGCGCTGCTCCGCGCTCACTCCTCCCTTTTGCCCTGATGGTACGTGTCAATTACATAAGTGAGGGAGTCTGTACATTGCAGAAAGGGAGTCCATAAAACAGGTTGAGGACAGAAACGCCTGCCGAAACACAGGGTGATCTCCCACAAGCGCTGCTCCGCGCTCACTCCTCCCTTTTGCCCTGATGGTACGTGTCAATTACACACAAGCCGCTGCACAGCCGCATTTTGCCCCGCAGCTTCGTGCGATTTTCCCCGCGTCTACT